ACTGGCCTGGCTTTGGCTCCGTTCCGCTGCTCGTGGCAGCTGCTGCAGGTGGTGGTTTCGCAGCCGGGAAGGTGCTGCCGGCTCTTCTGGGGATTTCCTTAAAAGTTCGTGTCTGAGCTCGTTGCCCGTGCGCTGCAGCGCTTTGTTTTTGCGCGGCGTCCGTGGCCGCGTGTCCCGAAGCCCCGAGCACATGCCCTGTGAGTTCGCTGCTGCCGGTTTGCGGGATCCCAGTTGGCTGTCCGTGTGAGGAGAGGTGCTGTCTACACTGAATGTGAGAAGGATCCCTTTTTATCAGTAAATGCAGTGGGATTTTTGCGGCACGTGCAGAGCAACGTGTGCAGAGCTGACGCCAGTAGTCATTTCATGTGGTGGACATGTTGTGTTGCTCGGAACAAAGCTCTCTTTGCGCCTGTTGTGATGCTCTCTGCTTTTTCCTTTCTCTAGAGTGAGGCAGAAGTGAATCCCAAGGCTTATCCCCTGGCTGATGCACAGCTCACCAAAACCCTCCTGGATCTCGTGCAGCAATCCTGCAACTATAAGCAGCTACGTAAAGGAGCCAATGAAGGTGAGATCTGTGTGCTGCCAAATGTGCTAGAAGTCATGGCAAGAATTTTGTGAGAAGCTGCAGCTAGAGATTGTCTTTTCTCTCTAGTAGTGGGCCTCTAATGTTACATAGATTTCGATACTCTCAGTGTCCCTCTCCTTCCTCCTCCTCCTGGCCTGCATAAGCAATATTCAGGGACAGAAATAAGCTGTAATTTTTTCAATGATTTATGTACAGTTCTGGTAGATGCTCAAACTGTGTTTCTGGTGTGTGTCCTGTGATCATGCCACCTTTATTGGTGTGGCACTGGGATTAACAGATGCACAGCCAGTTCAGAATCATAAAAAGATTTCGGTTTTAGGGGATCTCTGGAAGTCTCTGGTGCAACCTGTTCAGAGAGTGGCACCCTACACAGTTGGATCTGGTTGCTTGGGGCTTTGCCTAGTCATACTTTTTAAAAAAACAGTCCCTAAGGATAGTCCCTCAGGACCCATGTTTTAAACCCCTCTTATAAGGGGAGGGGGCTGTGGAAATTCCAGCATGTTCCCAGAATCTCCCTGAGGCAGCAGTCACAGTCTGCAACTTGTCCTTTTTCCTGTGCACTCAGGAGGATAATTGGCTTTGTCTCTGCGATCTGCTTGAAGTAGTAGAAGACAGCAGTTGCATTCCCTGCTCCCAACTCCGCACTCTCTTCTCCAGGCTCCCTCAGTCTCCCCTCATGCGTGGGGTGCCCCAGCACCCACCTCACCAGCAACCCTGGGCATGGCCTGAAACTGTACCAGGGGACCTTTAGATTGGATACTAGGAAGCACTTCCTCATGGAAAGGGTGATCAGACATTGGAATGGACTGCCCAGGGAAGTGGCGGAGGCACCATTCCTCAAGGTCTTTAAGGAAAGGCTGGATGTGGCACTTAATGCCATGGTGTAGCCAGTGTGGTTGTGTTAGGTCAGAGGCTGGACTTGATGATTTCAGAGGTCTTTTTCAGCCTTAATACTTCTGTGATTCTGTGAATCTTGCACTTGTGCTCGAGGGCAGTGCTGGGCACAGCACCTCAGGTGCAGCCCTGTGAATAACTCCTTCCCTAGCTCTCTAAGCTGCCATCTTCCTTTGACGTGTCATCATGCTACCGCTGCATCTCCTTCATGCTCATGCCAGTCTCAGCTTCTAATGTTCATTAGATGTGCTTTACAGAGGGACCTAGACTTACTTTCGAGTTTCTTTTACAGCCACGAAGACCCTGAACCGAGGGATAGCAGAGTTCATTGTGATGGCAGCAGATGCAGAGCCCTTGGAAATCATCCTGCACCTCCCTCTCCTCTGTGAGGACAAGAACGTACCCTACGTGTTTGTGCGCTCTAAGCAAGCCCTAGGCCGGGCCTGTGGCGTTTCCCGGCCTGTCATCGCCTGCTCCATCACCATCAAGGAGGGATCACAGCTAAAGCCTCAAATCCAGTCTGTCCAGCAAGCTATAGAGAGACTGTTGGTCTAAATGCCCAGGAGTTTGTATGTGGAGTAGGAAAGCGGAAGTCAGGGAGAGTTAATGTCTAGCTTCAGCTGAGATAATAGTTCTGGTATCTGTGTTTTGTTTCAAAATACCATATTTTTTTTTTAATAATGGTTCAATTCTTAGTGTTTCTCCCCTTCCCCTCCCTTCTTTTCTATTATTCCACTCAAACACATTAATTCTCATTGTATTCCTTCTTGAAAAATGATTGTACAACTGTATCTCCTGTTTGATGTTTAAAAGAAAGAAAGAAAAAATTCCCCCCTTACCTCCATGTCTGCCTGCTCAGGGCTTTGTTAACCCACCCGTTACCTTATTCTGCATTGCAATGTTTCTGCTGAGTTTCAGCTTCTAACAGGTGTGAGTAACTGTTTTGGAATGGTTTAGTCTCCTGAGGATAAGGTGTGAGGTTCCCTGCACACCATGTTCATCCAGGCTGCTAGTTACTGCTGTCAGCCACAGAGCAATGCAGGCCACATGGAGGTGGGCAGAAGCTGCTGTGGAGCAGCAGATGGAGCCAAGATCAGGACACACAGCATAACCGTTTTTCTCCTTGAAACCAGACAAGAGACTTCTGTAAGATACCTACAGGGAGCAGAAATCTGCAGTGCACAAGGGGAAATTTCCTGCGTTATTTTTAAATGCTACCTTTTTAAGAAAAATAAAATTGATGACAAAGCTAAATTATAATTGTCAATTTGCTTGGGGAAGCATTTGCAACTGAAGTGTTGCTACTTGAAAAGCTGAACTTCTGGGAGATTGCCTAAAGGCTATTGCAGTGTGGTAGCTCATACTCCTTCAGCTTTCTTTGGACTGTATCAATCACCTTGGGCTTCCTAGGGTATTTTAGTACAAAACATGGCTGAGAGCAGACTGACAGGTACCTTACGTATCTCATGCTTTTAGGGAAGCTGCTCTACTCTAAGTCACCTGACTTAAGAGAAACCCTTTAAGTCATGGCCAAGGCAACAGAGCAAGTAATATTTCAGATAAAACAACTTGAGTCTGGAGAATGTTGGATAATTTCATGTTCTGGAAAGGCAGGAAGCACCACCAGTGTTCTGGGTTAGCAGTGGCTTTATGGAGCTAGCCTTAGTTAAATACATACTGTATGATAAATCCACTTACTGCTCTGAGCAGATGAGTCTATACCTCTGTGTTGGAATGGGTCTTGTCAAACCTGTCTTCTATTGCAGGATACCAAAGCAAAGCTAGCATGCAAAGACCAATAGGTACAAGAGCAGAAGGGAGAATAACACTGTAATGTTCCAACAGAGGCACTAACTTTATCCCTTTAGTAAGTACATCACAAGCAGAAAAAACCAGCTCACAAAAGACTGAAGAGAATGCATGTCTGTAAATTTTTGTAAATGGCTGATAACTAATAGCCTTGCTGAAGTGAGCTTAATGCAAAGTTTGGAGTCCTTTGTATGAAGTTCAGAGATGCTGCTGTTCCCCTCTACTGATGCTGACTGTTGAGTTAGTTGTGTTTAAAACCACAGCTTTGCAAAGGACTTGTCCTATTGTACCAAACCAAGACAGCCAATGTAAGACAAAACATATAAGGAGCAGAAATAAAGGATTCTTGAGCAAGCAAAACTGTATAATTTTCTGCTCTGAAGCCTTCCATCACCATCCCTGTTAACTTCTGCTTAATGCAATAGTCTGCTTAAAAAAAAAAATAAGTCAGGAGGAAGATCTAATAACCTAGGCAAAACATGCTGTAATCATCCAAAGCCTGGAACATCTTGTGCCTGGGGGTTAGCAAGCCAAGAGGTAAGAAGGGCATTTGGAGAATGGAAATGTGCAGAATTAAGGAAAGGATAGTCTTTTTATTGCATTCAGGTCTCACTAAGACAAGCATTTACAGTAACTTCTTTGCCAAAGAGCAAAATAAATTGATTGCTTAAACAAATGTTTATTAAAAATACCTACCCTAATGCTGATTGAAAGTATAATAGACTACATGGCTTCAGTACTGCAGGGCTCAATGTGAGAGGAGCTGCGGAGGTGGAAGTGAGCTGCCTGCTGGCACAGCTGGGCTGGTCTCAGTGCCAAGAGAGCATTCACAGCTGGCTCCAATACATGTGCTATGCTACACCACGGGCATGACCTTAATAGATGACAGTTCAGTAAGTTGCCCAACATTTTGTGTGCCAAACGCAGTAATCCCTAAACCCACCATGCAGACCTAAATGGCTACTTCATGTATCCCATGTTTGCATCCTGTAGAAAGTTAGTTTAGCTAAACTATTAGGACTGTGTTCTCATCAAGGGCAATGACTTGCACTTAATCATCTTGCACTGCAAAACAAGTGCAGCATGCCAGACACAAGTTTAAAACTGAAACACAGGCAGCCCTAGATGCAGCCTCCATGGATGTGACTAAAATAAAAAAGAAAATGCTGCAAGTAACAAAGGCTACTCTCCACAACTTGCTTTTTTTAAAAAACAACAACAACAAACAACAGAAAACAACCAAACCCACAGATTTGAGTACAGAAGCCTGCACAATAACCTGACTCATACTTGCAATAGAGGTGGAGAAGCTCTATACCATCTCACTAATTTAACTGGTCCAAGTGCTTGCTGCATTCCAGGGAATGTGGCTGGTTGTTTTTTCCTTTTTCAAACTAGCTTATGCTATTACCAGCAAATAGTGCAGCTCTGTGAAATGCTACCTAGCTTTGCCCAGAGGACTGGCTACTGCTTCCCAGTAATGATTTTCTCCTTTATGATCTGGGGGTAATCTTTTTAATGCCAATGATGGAAAATAATGCCACTGGGTTACACGTACTGATACTGACTGGAGTCTTGGAGATTAGAAGAATAATGCACCACATTTATACCCTCTGCTAGCACAGACTTGACCTGCTCCTTCAATTCACGTGGTGCCATTAACACAAATCATGCAGTCTTCTTGCTCACACTGAAGTGAGTTTTGCTGTCTTTGTGAAGCAAAGGTGGTATAGCCAGTGTTGCAAAGTAAGAAGTGCAAAGTAACTTTTATTTAGAAACTAGGAAGGCACAACTGTGTTTACTTGCAGTGGGTGACCTGAGAGAGCAGGGAATTTAATTCTGCCTTTGGCTACTGTGAACAGAATCAACTTTGCAGAGATGTTCCACAACTAAGAGTAACAAGTTTCTCCCCTCCTGAACTCAGCAACACTTAGCTGCCTTCTCCTCCCTAGCAAGATTAAACAGACACAGCATCCACTTAAGACAACTGAAACTTGAAGCAAGGCCTTCTGCTTCTGCTCAGCGTTCAGTAAAGTATTCAGTTAGTACATCCATGAGCTCCTGCTTCTTCCCCCCACTCTTCAGCCCACAAAGCCTGCATGCGTCCTTCAGAACTGGCACAGTAAGCTTGCCCAGAGTGCCCTTCAGCACATGACTCTGCAGCTCTTCTTTTGAAACTTCTACCTTGAGCCTCTTCTCAGTTTGACCATCAGAATCTAGAAAGACAAATTTGAGATCACCAAGATTTTGAAGTTTCTTAATAGAAAGATATCAATGTTTCTTATACATACCACAGTTAATTGCCATTGTTAGCACATGGTACTTTTAAGAGCTACTTACACACTCACAGACCTGTTTCCATATTCTGTTTTATGAAGTAGGAATCACTCATCATGCAAGTCATATACTGTATTTGATATGAGTGATCTCAAACTCAAGTATAAAACTGTGTTCTGATGGGCAGATAACCCCCAAATTAAACTTTTAAGGGATTCTCATCTAGACAGGAGAATAAAACTATTCCACAGGGGGATCAACTAATTCATACTCCTACTTTATGCAGTTTCATAGGCTCCCAAACTACACGTCTACTTCAGCATTACTTAGACATTTAGCTCTTAACATGCCTAGTTTGGACTTGCTAAACAGCCCATGGTTAAAATTCTGCTTCTTCATCAAGAACACAAATTGAAAGCATAAACAATTTTACTACTTTGTTGCAAAAACCTCCAAAGTTATTAATGATTATATAAATAATAATAAACAAGTATTGCGCAGTAATTTATCCAGATGCATAAAGAGTAATTGCACAAGCAGTGTGTTTAAAGTATGAGACAAACTGAAAACACCAAAGCCTCTAAACAAAGAACAGTGACATCACATCACGTTGCACATCTGCACTATCATTACTCGCCTTGTTTTCGCTTTACAGCCTTCCCATCAGGATTATAGTCAGGGGGATAAACCAGCTGCTTAAACTCCTCCACCAGGTTGCCCAGCCTGCGGTCCATCTCTTTGGCCTTTGGCACTGGCAAAAAAGAAAGATTTGGCCTCTCAAAAACAGAGTGATCACAGGAGAGTCCAAAGGAGATCATCACCAGATACAATTGTGCTTCTGTAATGGCTAACATGCAAATGTCTTCCAAGCATACAAAATGCAAAGACCTATGTTGTGATACACATGAGAAATCTGAAGCTCTGGGTAATGTCAAGCATTTGAATTGCACATATGTAGTGGACTGGTACACATCCCTGAACATGAAATATATACACGTACATGTGTAAAATTGACAGGGTGGAGCTGATAGAGAAGATTTGCCTGGCTGCACTGTTACTGAGTCTAATGTCAGACATTTAAAATACAGGAGGTTACTATCTAAGGTTGTGAGTGGTCTGAGGCAGAATAGCTTGTTTCTGTCCGGTATTTGTATAATACCTAGTACAGGGACCTAGATTATTTGTTAGGTATCACACCAGAAGGAGCAAGTAGTTACTTGAACACCATTCCTGGAGTATAACTTTATTTTTCAAAAAAGGAACTTATCCTTCAGGAGTAGGTTTCTATCCTTTGACAAAACCTTACACATAAACTCTCAGAGCCACCAGGTGGCATCACTGCCTCCTAGCAGAATTATTAGAGTAGTTCTGCCCGTTTATCAGAATTAAACATTAGACTCCTGAAGACAGGAATTTCAGAGAAAACATTTGACAACATAGAAAAATGGTGATTCAATTTTAATTTTGGAGGGTAAAGCAATACATTTTTCCTTTACTTTCAAAATGACAGCATTAGAAAGGAAGGTTCCAGCATCTCAGAATGGGCACATCCAGAATTCTGCATCTTGAAACAGCACATAACTAAAATATTTTTTTAAAAACATGTGGTTTTGTAGTAGCACATCTCAAGAGTCCCCTACCCCACCTCCCTTCACACCCACCAACAAGTCTCACTTGTAAGATCCTCGGCTTGTTCTGGTTCCAGCATATCCAGTGCCAAAGCCTCCAGATTCCTGAAGTGCTGTTGCAAAACTGGGTTCTCAAAGCTATCAGGCCTGCCAAGAAGACAGACAAAACACTTAAGATCTTCCACCAACCTATTTCAAAGTAAAACTTCTCTCTTTCCCACATAACAATCTATCTCATTGGAAGAACTGCTTTTCCCCTTTTCAATTTACCTGCTGAATCACCATCCTATCACAAATCAACCACAACAGAAAGCTGTGTGAGACAGAGACAGTGCCATTCTACTTCAATACCAGGTATGCTACTTTCCACATACCTAGAAAAAAATTCTTGTATAAAAGCATTCCATGAAATTTATCCTATCTATAACGAAAAAGGCCTAACAACTCACTCTAAAGTGCTCTAAATTAAACAATCCAAGTGTAACCTGCAATAGATTGGCAGAACCACAATAAAAATATGCGATAACCTCTGCAACAAATGACCACAGCCCAGAGAACAAGAGCAATTCTATAAAGAACTCCAGAACGTGCTACGTACTGCACATGGTGCCTGGATCTTCAGAGTAATTAAGAATGAAGTCTGGACAAAGCTACTGTAAAGAGAAGCAATTTGCATCAAAATCCCATCTTGCAGATACTACAGCTGAACAACAGTGTTGTGTTTTCTTCCCTGTGTCACTCAGCAGCACATAGTTTCTTTTATCTCCATGTACCTGTATTTGAATCGGAGTTTTTGAACTATTTCCTTCATTTTGTCCACCTGCTCTCGACTGGCTGGCACCTTTTCTGTAAAATCAACATTCCGTTTGTCATCTGCATATGGCAGGAAAATGATGTGGAAACCTACACAGAAGAGAAAGAGCAGAGAACAGTTATGCAGAACCATTGCTTCTAAACAATAATTGATGGGAAATACCAAGGTGCTTATTAGCTAGGTCTGAGGACTCCCCAGACTAGCTATTACATTGCTGAAAACAACAGCAATCCCTACAGTGTGACACTCAATCCCAATCTCAACACATATAATCACATCACTAATGGCTTTTTGAAAGATAAACGAATGCATAAGTAAGAGCTGGAAACTTGTCGCTCACTTTTTATAGAGATCAACTTGTGAACCTTCCCCATCTCTCACTGGATACAAGCTATGATGTAAAGTAAGGGAGTAACACTGTCTGTGTATAAAGCATTCTAGAAATAAAATGTGGACATTAAATAAATTTTCAAACAAACCATTTTCAAGCTTGTATCCAGTGAGAGATGGGGAAGGTTCACGTTCCAGTGTCTGACCACTCTTCCTGTGAAAAAAAAATTTCCTACTGTCCAGTCTAAACCTCCCCTCTTGCAGCCTGAAGCCATTGCCTCTTGGGGATTCCCTCTATCACTAATGACATGTGAAAAGAGACCAGCACCAACCTCTCTACAATGACCTTTCAGGTAGTTTTAGAGACTGATGAGGTCTCCCCTCAGACTAAATATTCCCAGCTCCTTCAAACTTTCTTCACAAGATTTATTCTCCAGGCCCTTCACCACCTTCGTTGCCCTCCTCTGTACTCACTCCAGCACCTAAATATCTCTCTTGAGTTGAGGTGCCCAAAACTGGATGCAGTACTCCAGGTGTGGCCTCACCAGTGCTGAGTACAGGGGGACAATCACCTCTCTCCTTCTGCTGGTCACACTATTTCTAATACAAGTCAAGACGCCACTGGCTTTCTTGGCCACCTGGACACACTGCTGGCTCATACTCAGCCACTTGTCAATTAGAACCCCCAGGTCCTTTTCTGCCAGACACTTTCCAGCCACACTTCCCCAAGGCTGCAGTGTTGCATGGGGTTGTCATGGCTCAAGTGCAGGGCCTGGCCCTTGGCCCTGTTGAAGCCCAGATCATTAAGATTAGCTCAATGATCTAACGGAAAAGAGTCTGCTTTTGCTGCTTGATCATTCCCCACTCAGCCACTATGGTATGAGGTAAAGTTTGTGAGATTATTTATTCAAGGCTTTAAAATGTATCCAAGGATACAATAAAATTAAGGGAAAAACATTCCATCTAGTCAGCAAACAGAAAAAAAGGCCTTCAATGTCTAGGTCAGTTACTTGAATCTGCTAAAAAAAAGGTGAGGCAGGAAAATACTGTAGTCATGTTACGCCTGAGCAAGCACTGGCGCAAATGGAGTTCTAAAAAGAGATCCAACATCAGATGTTTACAATGGCAAAATGGAAGAAAAGGGATGTTGGAAAGCACTCTCCTCAGTTTTAAGGGGAGCAGCACCAAGAGTATTTTCATGCAATACAGGAGGGGATCAAGCTGACTGCATCCAGTTGTGCAGGAAAAGGCAGCATTTCTTCCCATACCTGGAGGGGCTGTCTGCACTTTCTGATCATCCACCTCTTCCTCCTGGGGAACCAGGGCCACAAAGCGAGGGGGAGTGTTGCGGCGGGCGGTGTATCTGCACAGGGCCACCACATCCTTCTCCAGGCATTTCATTAGCAGGGCATTAAACAGCGTTGTACTCCCTGCAAAGTAAAGACTGTATTGGTCAGATTCACAGCTTTGCTCCTTAGTTCAGGATTGTAACTCTAGATATGACAGTTTCAATACCTGTTACTTCTTTGAGATGCCTGCAATACAGTAAAAAGCAACTTTTGGAAGGGGAGCCCTCAAAAAAGATGTTAGTATCTCTCCTGACCAGAGCAGTGAGGGTTCTGGTGAAAAAAAAGAAAATCACTAGCACCTGGGAAATTAAATACAGTTGAATACTGGAAACGGGTATCTACAAAGCCTTTCTGGTCTGGTGGGACATCATAGTAGCAGCACATCATAGGAACTTTTGCAGAAGTAACACATTAAGGCTTCAGACTGCAATATTCCTTGAGGTGCACAGTTGCTTCGTATGTTACCAGATATGGTAAAAGGTGCTTGGAAACCGTTAAGCTGGAGAAGTTATTGTAAAGGTTCTTCTTTAGTCAGATAGTGCAAAGCATCTGGTGGTCACAACTCAGCTGTCTTTATCCACCAACAGATTGATGAGCTGGAGTTTTTTCTTTACTATTGTAGCTTGGGATGCATTAATGATATATTTCTAGACAAGCAGACTTAAATGTATAAATAAAAAGGGGAGAAAAAGCAGTCCTAAGCATCCTCTCCTCCTCTTTACAAGCGCACAAAGTGTTACTTCAACCACAGTTTCTGAGTATTATGTTTTCACTCCTACCTGGTAAGGACTTTTAAAATAGCAATTATCTTCACTGTTTGTTCATTTGTTTGTTTTTTAACCATCTTTGTGTTCTTCTCAGGCACTATGAATCATCTGGTTACCTGAACGCAAGGCGGTGAATCTGCTCTTGCCATCATTACTTACCACTTACTACGGACTCCTCAGGATAGATGAACTGGGAGGGCTTGATGTGGTGATGTCGTTTTAGCATTGAAAGGGGTTTGAAGCCAATCAGAAACAAGCCTGGAGACTCAAACCGTTTTATTTCTTCTGTTTCCTCTTTCTCCAGCACAATCTGGCGGTTTCCATATGTCTAAATCAGGAAAGGAAGAACAGACAGTGGTCCTGCCAGCATAAAAACAACTGGGGGAGGGGGACAGGAGGAGAATGCAATTGCTGTCTTCCACTATTGAAAAGAGGGCTATGGACAAGACAAAGCACACTCCCATCATTAGGGCACACTGAAAAGGCAAGTCACAGTCTGTGACCATTATCCCAAGGGGAATTCTACCTGGACATTAGCAAAATGCACTTTTACAAAGAAAATGGTTAAACCTGTGGCTCAAACCAGGACACCTTGGCACAGAGAGGCTGTCTTTTCTCATCCTTGAAGCCATTCAGAGCTGTCCCAAACAAAACCTGAGCAACCTGATCTGGTTTTACAAGTCTTGCTCTGGGCTGGGTTGGATCAGACATTTTCAGAGGTTGTTTGATTCTAAACTTGCTTCAGCAGATGTATGTCAGCTACCTACTCCTGGCAGAAACAGTGACCAAGGAACAATGTTTTTGAGGCATTGCTGGTACATCACAAAAATGCAAACATACTGTAGCCCAGCTGCTGAAGTTAAACATCAGGGCTTAATGCTCTGCTTTCTGTTCATCTCCTGTACTTAACTTCAATAAATTAATGTCCAGTAAATAAAATTAAGTATAAAACAACAACTTCAAGAGCCTTTGGCATGCAAGAACACACAAAATGTGCTTGTGATATTATACCTAGCAATAGCATAGCCTGCTTTGGAATAAGGATGTGCCTGATGAGAACATAACATTCAATCTACATCAGCTAAACTATCAAGCAGGAAGGCAAAGCAAATAACAAATTAACAAAAAAACCCAAAGGTAATATACCATTTTTTCTTTTTTGTTTGGAAAAGAGCTCCATCACCCCCCTTACCCCCACGATTCAAACTTGTATGTTTAATAAAATGGACAAAATCTGTTCCTAATGAATCAAAAGATAACACCACTACTGGTGGTGTGTGACAGCACAAGGCCACATACGGTGGTTCTGCCTTAACAGAATGAAATTATCCATGTTCCTGAACATGCTCCTATCAGAGGCCATACTTTCCCTTGATAGTCATGCCAGAGATACAACCCACTCTCACTCTGCGTGGCTTGCAAAGTGACCAGGCTACCCCCAGGGGCATACAGATGTAAATATTTCTCCATCTGATCTTGGAAGTGAAATAGAATTAAAATCAGCACAAGAATCAGGATCTCCTCCCGCACATGATGCGGACAGGAAGAAGGAGGCACATAATCAGTACGTTACCTGAGCCCTTTTTGTGTCACTTGGCAGGAGCAAGCTGCCTGTTTTTCCATTAAACATCCTTGTTTTTGTCTTAACTGGTTCATTAGTTTCCCGATAAAGCTTCACTGGATAAGGCTTATAAGCTTTTCGAACAAGGTTGTAAACACCAACAGAAAGTGACAGATCTTTGTTCAGATACAGATTTAACCTGTGTTAAAACAAACAAAAAAAAGCAGATACAGACTCCAGACTTCCCAAAGGTTGCTTTTGAAAAAGAACATCACCTTCTCAGATAACTTATTTTCTTTGACCTCCTCCTATTCTGCTGCCCCAAAATCTCAGGAAACATACTGTTACTTCAATTATAATCTCACTTGTATTAAAACATTATTGCACTGTCACTTCTGGTCATAAAAAATATTTAAACACCAACCTGATTTACCATATTTCTTCCACCTTTATTCACTCTGAAGGGCAGCCATCATGGAAGCACAGAATTGTCAGAGTTGGAAGGGACCTCTAGAGATCATCCAGTCCAACTTCCCAGCTAAATCAGGATTGCCTAGAGCACATTACTCAGGACTGCATCCTGGCAGGCACCCCACTGGTGCTTAGTGCAGTGTGACCTTTGAATTCACAGGGATGTTCACATAGAAGACAAATTCCCCAAAAGAATCCAAACAAGACAAAAAATACCATAATTTATGAGAAAAAAAAATAAAAATCAGAAGTTAAGAGAAAAATTCATAACTTTAACATTGGAGGTAATCTTCAAGTTCTAAGAGCAGAACAGTGAATTACTGTGAATGCTACTTCAAAAGGTATGATGGGTATGGGATTCTTCCTCCTCAATTATTAGAGAACTTGAGGAACATCTCCAGAAGAGGAAAATAAAGCTGTAAGCAAGAGCAAGAATGCCAGTGACAACAGCTCAGGTTGGGATTTTTTTTTTCATTTATATTAAATAAACACTAGGCTGTGAAGTTCATTCCCTTACTGTGCTTCCACATCATTCTGCTATGAACTGAAATAATTAAAAAAAAAAAACAAAACACACCTCACAACTGTTATGGAGTATGTCGTTCCAAAAATACTTTCTATCTGCTTTGTCAAGATCCCTTTAATCTCTCTGTTAGTGCCTCTAATCTTTCAGTAGATCAGAAATACCAAGGCTGTGTAAATGTACACCAAGTGCCTAGACAAACTGTCCACATGCAACTATTTAAGAGTAGGCCAAAAATACCTACTACTCACACTGAGATGAAATTTTTCTAAATTAAGAATAATAAGAAAAGCCTAATTTCAATCAGATTTCACTATAAACTAACCATGTTATATGCTGCAGATTTTTTGCAATGATGTAGCTTTTGAAAAAATATTATTTCTGGCCAAGCTCAATACAGATGTCACACAGAAGAAGAAAAGAGGCCCAGCTTCACTCTCCATACAGGACAAATATCCTTGGAAGCTACAGAAGAAACACGCATCTTGGACTATGGAATTGAGGAATCTAAGCACTGATGCATTTATAGACCAATCATTCCAGAAGAGAGATGTGAAATGTAGTCTAAAAATAACATCAGGTGGATGAAATATCATAACTAGGCACAAACCTGCTTAAAGTCCGTTTCTTTGTCTCCTTCGCTCGTACTTTCTTCATGAGATGTTCCAGTTTCCCTGATTCCTCAGGTTGGATCCCAAGGTCCTCATCCTCTGCTACGTTTATGATATCCCTGTAGAACAAAGAGATATCGAACCCTCCAGGCTTCTTCAAGTGCATCAAGTCCAAGATGATACCTACAAACAGAGTAAGAGATAGGAGGAGGATCACAGAAACTGTTTTTCTTCTTACATTGGCATGCTTCTCAGCAACCTCTGATTTCTCTGTCTAAGCACAGAATTTAAGCAAAAATAAGCTACAAATCTGCACCATATGTGAAAGTTTCTAGGGAAAGAGTCAAAAGACAGTTTTCAACTTCAGTCAAAACAACACAGCATAGAAAACATTTCCTCTTTAATTAAGAAACTGGACAGCATTGTGTATGAAACAGCTCTGACAAGCTTCTATAAAGCATAATCTTATCTTGGGCACAGAGGGAAATAATGAGTTCCAAAATTTCCCTTTCCTAGTTAAAAGGGCTAATAGATAGAAGAAGCCTCACAGCTTCTAGATTCAGCATATCTGCTGAACTCCAGAAACACACATTATCTCAGCTACATAGTTGAACTAATGAAGCATTTGCTCTCTAGTCTCTGAGCTCCGGTTGCTGTTCTTCAGCTAATTAAAAATGGAGCCATCAAAGTAGTTTTTCTTCTGTGTTAATTCTCTTCCTGGAAAACGGTGGAACAATGAAATAGAGCTCGTTTTCCACAGCCTTCTCAAGTCTAGACTAACACTATCAGAGTAGAAAAAGAGATCTTAGAAAATGTTAGTTGTTGGATACCAGATTGGATAACATATTTTCTAATTTAGATTAGACACCCAATTTCTAGTTTAGAAAGCTTCAGAAAGATTCCTCAGTTCTGATGACTAAATTTTATTCCCACCACAAACTTGCAATGCAATTACCATCTGCTACAAGGATACACTGCTTTTATTCTGCCTGAAATTAAAGGAGAAAATAACAACCTGTATCTCTCAGATCACCAGCTCTGGTCCTGGCCAGCTTGGCTTTAGCACTGTCATTGGCATGAGGGTCATCCTCGTTGGTGAAGAGCATGATCCTTTTGTGGCTCAGCCTGACTCGGACATCACTGAAGAGATTAGAGCAGGCCCAGAGTGCTTCACCCAGTGAATAGTCAGCATTGTGGCCAAAGGTCTCACGGAAAAGCGCTCGTCCTTCGTCTCCCCTGTATTGGTCCAGCTCTAGAACACGCTTTGCACCTAAGGGGGATAACAGCATTCACACACATTAGAAATACTGAAAGAAGTACTGCAAACTCTTCTAAATATGCACCAAGGTTCCTTGCAGCTGATGTCTGAGTCATGCCCACTAGCACCTGCATGGCATTGCCCTTTCAACACCTGCTAAGACAATTGCTCGGCATAGCCTAACATTTGCAACATTGGAAGCCAGTTCCTACTTGAGAACACCTACTAGGGCCAAGAGGACACATAATGCTCTGGCATCAACGTAGGGCTTGTCCTGTTGGGGGAAGGAAACAGGCAGGGATTGAAGTATCACAAACACTCCACGCTGAATAGCAGGAAATACATCAATTGCACCTGCTGCAAAGACGTGGCAGACTGCTGCGCCACCAGAGAAAGGAGAGGAGCCTGAAATACATCCTGCAACTCCGTGGCACATTGGGAAGGTGGAGAATTCCTCCCTCTCCCTTGCCCCTCACGTCAGATAGAATCAGCCTAGAGGTCAGATGCAGCCCACAGATCACCCCCTGCGTCACAACAATGTTTGGGGCAGGTGTTGATGCCAGAAAAGGAAGAACCACCTAAGGCAGTCCTGCCAGGTCTCTGCTGTAATTAGTTCTGAAACTAGGAGAAGGCACGGTTCTTTCAGGAGAACCCCATGTGTTATTAAACCCACACCTCCTAGTTAAGAAAGTTAAATCCAACCTCCTCAGAGATAGTCTGCTACTGCAATCTAGTAGACAAAATCCCTCTGCAAGACTCTCTGCTGTCAGGGAATCTGTCACCACTAACATGCATTCTTTGCACTCCTACTACCTTTTCCAATTCAGTAACTGGCACTCGTTACCAAGCTAATGCTGGATAATTCTAAGAAACTCTAAGAAAACAGAAGAGCTAAATTCAAGAATTCCAAAACTTATTATGAAAATGAAGAGATGGAACACCTCAAAAAGGTTAACATTTTGGACAACCTGTTCTAGCTGACCCTGCTTAAACAGGAGGGTTGGACAAAATGATCTCCAGAAGTCCCTTCCAGTGTCAGCCATTCTGTGGTATTCTCCATCAACTGGAATCCATGGTGTCTGTGACTGCAGATGCACTTTTCTGCAGAGCAGCAGACACAGGACGGGCTTTCAAGAGTTCTGCTGAGACCCTCTTTGGCTTAGCAGACAGCAAGTCAACCACCACATTAAAACAGAAGGAAAGACAGAGGGAAGGGACCTGAAACCTAACAGAAAAAGCTAAGCTCCTACTAAATTTCTAAGCATACAATACATTTCTAACATCTCAGTAATAGGAATTTCTTTTTTTATCTGATAGCTCTTTTTTTCAGAGAGACTAGTTATCAACAGTGCTCCTACACAGATTTCTTTATTCCATCTTTCTACATAACCTTCATATTACATTGCTGCCTTTACCTGGATTGTCCAGCTCCTGAAGAACGTAGATGTGCTTGAAATCTGCCGAGTTCTTGTTCTTATCTGTACCATAGAACACGACACCCAACAAGTCCCTGTCACTACTAATAATTTTGTTGGTATACACACTCCGGATGCACTAAGAAAACAAAACAAGACAGTGCACACAGGCCAAAATGTGAAGAAAATAAGTTGCAATAAGGGTGCAAAAGTCTTGCTTTTAGCAATCAGCAGTTTATGCAAGCAGACTCTCACAAACAGAAGAACCATAATAAAAGCTTTCAGCTAAATTTCACCAGGAGAATTTGGGATTTGTTTCTGCTGTAATTAGTTCTGAAACTAGGAGAAGGCACGGTTCTTTCAGGAGAACCCCATGTGTTATTAAACCCACACCTCCTAGTTAAGAAAGTTAAATCCAACCTCCTCAGAGATAGTCTGCTACTGCAATCTAGTAGACAAAATCCCTCTGCAAGACTCTCTGCTGTCAGGGAATCTGTCACCACTAACATGCATTCTTTGCACTCCTACTACCTTTTCCAATTCAGTAACTGGCACTCGTTACCAAGCTAATGCTGGATAATTCTAAGAAACTCTAAGAAAACAGAAGAGCTAAATTCAAGAATTCCAAAACTTATTATGAAAATGAAGAGATGGAACACCTCAAAAAGGTTAACATTTTGGACAACCTGTTCTAGCTGACCCTGCTTAAACAGGAGGGTTGGACAAAATGATCTCCAGAAGTCCCTTCCAGTGTCAGCCATTCTGTGGTATTCTCCATCAACTGGAATCCATGGTGTCTTGTGACTGCAGATGCACTTTTCTGCAGAGCAGCAGACACAGGACGGGCTTTCAAGAGTTCTGCTGAGACCCTCTTTGGCTTAGCAGACAGCAAGTCAACCACCACATTAAAACAGAAGGAAAGACAGAGGGAAGGGACCTGAAACCTAACAGAAAAAGCTAAGCTCCTACTAAATTTCTAAGCATACAATACATTTCTAACATCTCAGTAATAGGAATTTCTTTTTTTATCTGATAGCTCTTTTTTTCAGAGAGACTAGTTATCAACAGTGCTCCTACACAGATTTCTTTATTCCATCTTTCTACATAACCTTCATATTACATTGCTGCCTTTACCTGGATTGTCCAGCTCCTGAAGAACGTAGATGTGCTTGAAATCTGCCGAGTTCTTGTTCTTATCTGTACCATAGAACACGACACCCAACAGGTCCCTGTCACTACTAATAATTTTGTTGGTATACACACTCCGGATGCACTAAGAAAACAAAACAAGACAGTGCACACAGGCCAAAATGTGAAGAAAATAAGTTGCAATAAGGGTGCAAAAGTCTTGCTTTTAGCAATCAGCAGTTTATGCAAGCAGACTCTCACAAACAGAAGAACCATAATAAAAGCTTTCAGCTAAATTTCACCAGGAGAATTTGGGATTTGTTTCTCAAGAGATTTTAAAAAAAAAATAAAAATGCAGTCTTAGCTATTTTTCATTATCATTCCCTTTGTACAAGAAGGATCGACAAAATTAACATTCCTCAAATGCACCACCGTTCTATAAACACATCCCTCGTGGAACTCTGGGCACATCAGACAACTTCTCTTTCCACACCCACAGCCACTTCCACCGGGACCTTACACCACAGAGCAGCCAGAGCGACAAACCACGAGGCGTCCACACCCAGGGCGGGGTTTGGGAACCCCCCGGGGCTCCCTGAGCAGCCTCACCTGGATAGTCATGTCGAAGGGAATCACCTCGTCCCCGTCTCCCTCAAACATGGCCTCGGAGGCATCGACCAGGAAAATGAGGCTGTCCCGACCCGAGAACTTGTAGTCCGCTGCAAA